GGTGAGGGCTCAGTGCAGGGCGGCAGGGGTGAGGGCATGCATGCATCCAGGCACTGTGGCCAGGGACCTCAGGGCGTAGATAACAGATCTGTCAGGAGCCTCTGAGACCTTTCCAGTCTTTGGGGTCAGCAGGAAGTGGCCTGCGATGCATGGACTGCAACTGCTGCCCTTCCTACTTGCTCCCCTCCTTCCCTTTCGATCTCGGCCCCTCCTGAGCCCTCACCGAGTGTCCTCTGACTCTCACCCTCGTGGCTCCTGGCTACTCATCCTCGGCTGCTCTATTCTGGTGCTCCAGTCTCCCCAGTTCCCTTGTTCTGTCCAGGTCTTCCAGAGATGTCCCCTCCCATGACTCCTGGGTCAGTGATGTCTATGACCTCTCTCTCCTGCTATATTAAAATCTCCCAACTGTGAAACTTGCCTCCAACAGACCCCAGCCTTAGACACAGAGCTTCATACTTACGAAACAGTGAAGGGATGCAGTAAAGGCATGGATCTTTATCAGTATCGGTCCTTAGCTGCCAACTCTCTGGACTGCCATCAGAAAGCAAGTCCAGAGTCTGCAAGTAGTACACTGCATCCTCTCTTTTAACTGCCCTGCCAACTCTATGTATAATGGCCACAACCCGGAGATAGCCTCAGTGCAGTACAAACTCTGATGTAACTACACCATAGGAATACTACTCAGGCAGGAAAAGAAACGACATTGCTACCCATCACCTGAATGGATCTCCAGGACACTCTATCTAGCAGAAGCAGCTAATTCCTAAAAGCATTTCTTGCATGACTGTACTTTCACAACGGCCTCAGAGGACAGCATGGCAGGCAGAGAGGGAGAGGCAGCTGTCGCTGCGGTTAGGAATGGAATGGGCCGCTCACTCCCAGACCCCAGGTTTGCAGAGCAGAGGGGCTAGCAGACAAACATGGGTGGCAGGTTACCTGAGCTCACACAGCCCTGCTGGAGGGGGTCCTGCAGAGACGCCACTGAGTGGAGGGCTGTGGAAGAAAAAGGCACCGTTACAGAGGACACAGGGCTTGGGGCCTCCCAACTGCACAAAAGGTACTAGGAGGGTCAGCGGGAGTCCAGAGGGAGGGAGGCTTCCCATTCTCAAGCTGAGGGCCAGGATGGGGACTGGGATGAGGGTTGCTCAACTATAAAGTGCCAGAAACCTCACTTCCCGGTGGCAGAAGCCATTGCCTGTAGCACTTTCATTTCCAGAATGGATTTCCTTCTCAGTTCCCCGGTGGAGGTACTTGACTTTTACCTATATTTATTTATATATAAACAGCATTTTCTTAATTGGTAACTAATTTTCTGCTGCTTATAAAATTAGCCAGGCTCAGCCTCTTTACTCTTGAAACCTGAAGATGGAGATAGGCAAGGGGGCACACATCTGTCTTTCTATCATTTGGGAGGCTGAGGCAGGAGGATCATGGGTCCTCCTTAAGGCCTGCTTTGGCTACACAGTGAGTCTGAGGCTAGTCCGGGCTACATAGTGAGTCTGAGGTCAGTCTCAAAAAAAAAAAAAAAAATAAACAGACCCTGCTGTCTCACCATTCCCCGTGCTCCAGTAAACACTAACCCAAACCCAAAGCCAAAGCCAAGCCCATGGACGGAGGCTGTCCTTTCCGGGCTCTTGCAGGTTGGCTGTTCTCACCTGGCCCTTGTTGCTGCCCTTGCACAGGCAGGACACCCTGGCCTAGCTCTCCATTCAGCCAGAGCTGCATCCGGATGAAGGGTTCTCGGCCTTTCTGGGTCAGTTTGCTCCATGGCTTTGGCCTTGAGAGCATGTCGCTGACACTGCCCTGGGACAGGCCCAGAACCTGGAGAAGCAAACAAAGAGAAGCAACTGTCAGCTTCCAGAAATCAGCAGGATGCTGCAAGGTGCCTTAGAGACATACATGTGGCCCTGGGGGGCCTAGGGGAGATGAAGCCACATAGAACGTGCATTGGAGGACTCTTTTGAGCACTGAAGGGCAGCCTAGTGCACTGTGACAATTGGCAGGGATAAGCTTTAGCAGACTACTGGTAGGATAAAGTCTTGGGACAGGGCAGGGGCTCTGGGCAAAAGAAATGACTATAATCACAACTTCAATTGGGAGTGTGGCTCATTGGTAGAGGATAGGCCTAAAATCTGCCAGTGATGGGCTTGGGATGTGCCTAACCGATGCAAGGGCCTGGGTTTCATTCCCAGCATGATCAAAAACACAAAAGAGAAAGTACAGTCGCAGCTCTTATTGGGAAAGGGTGTGAAAGGAAGTGGTCAGTTTTCTCTAGGGTCTGGACCCTGCAGAGGCTGCAAGGTTGTGTCTTGAAAACCGAGGAGCAGACATTGCAGAACATCTTGCCCTTTACCTGGTATTACCAGGACAGGCTGGGGTGCTGCAATCAGAGCCCCCTGGAATTGGGAGACACTGAGGGGCATAGAAAGCAGCCTCCTGCGTTGACACAGGCCAAAGGGGCATTTACAAAGGGTCACTCTGTCTGACCGTACCCTGCTCACAGGTTGACCAGAGGAGAGCTGGTGAGGACAGGGAGCCAGTGTGGGAGGAACACTGAGCAGCAGACGACCGACAATTTGCATGCACGCACTCAGGCTGCTGCCTCTCACATATGGCCATACATATGTATGGGCACAAACACCCCCCAGGGCACAGATGTAGCCCAGAGATATTTAGGGGCCTCATCCCATCACTCTGCAAAGTTTTCCAGTTCCAGAATAAGCAGCACTCATGGGCCAAACAAATTCAATGTTATTAAGTTTGCTAAATTTAAGGTGGGAGCACAAAATGCCTATTTAAATGTTCACAAATTTTATTTTTACAACGCTGAACTCAAAATTCTCCAGGGACTTTCAATTCACATCCTCCTGTCTGTGGACCTTCATCACTTATTGCAAAATTGGGACAAGGAGGTCATAAACAGACCATAGAGTTCAAGGCCAACATACAGATGAGACCGAGACGGACTGGGTGGGGAGGGATGGGTATCCAACAGGGCTGTGAGGGCCACTGCTGATCCACTTCCTGTGTCATCTCAGGAAGAGAGGACTTCTCTTTATAGTCTGCTCATGGCTTAATCGTTAATGATATAGGTTATTATGTTTATTTTAGATTTTATAGGCGTGGTAAATCCTGTTATCCTGAATCTGCCATCAGATAGGTCTAGAAGCTCATCCATACATAATTACACTTTCCCGAGCCAGGAAGAGGTGATGTGTGTGACGCTCTGATGGGTCTGTAGGGCCCTCGTAGTGTAGTGAAAGGAACAACGAGGAGCCGAGCAGAAGCTCACACCTGTAATTGTAGCATGTGGGAGGTCCAGGTAGGAGGATTCCTGCTAGGGTGAATCCAGCCTGGGCTACACAATGAGTTAGTTCTAGGTAGGCAGGACTACATAGAAGACCCTGTTTCAAAAAATAACATAAACTAACAATCAGCCTCCTCCCCAAACAACAATGAAATGAAACAAACAAACACAAGAAAGAAAAATCCAACAAAACAACCAAGGAGCAATTATGTTCTGTGCAGCTTTTCACTCCCACGTGTGGTGGTTCTCGGAAGGCTGGGTGTTCCCTGTGCGATCTGATCCCATCAGACCTTCTAGGGCCAGAATGGCTTGCAGAGGTGTCTCTCTGCTGCATGTGGCCTCAGAGGCAGGGCAGGTCCAGGGTCACCTGGCAGCTTGCTGCATGCAGACACTAATGGACCATGCTTCCTCATCTGCTGTATGTCAGTTTTACCAGTTACTAAGCAGGGCAGCGGGAATAGACAGGATGGCACAAAGTGGGTGGGAACTGGTGACATCTAATACTCCTGTGATGGCCATGCTGTGCAGAATGGACACTCTGTCCTCAGACCTAAGAAGAGATGGGAAGCTATGACAGCCCCCCAACAGTGAAGCCCCTTACCTTCTCCCCGAAGATCCTCTGGCAAATGCCATTCTTGGCCAGCTTCTCTTTGACCTGCCGGGTGAGCTCAATGGTGTCCACTTCCTGATACATGTAGACCTCGTACTGCTCAGGAGTCAGGGGGGGCACTGAGGGCTTTGCTGGCTTTGCCATGGGCACGATGGGGGAGGAGGGCAGAGGGCTGTTCTGGGGGGTCTCACTGCGGCTGGCTCCAGTCAGGCTCAGCTCTGAGCTCTGGGAGTAGGGCGACTCAGCGCTGGGCCACTCCTTCCAGTACTCTGCTGCTGACGAGGGTCCCTGAAGCTGGCCGCGCTCTGCCCGAGGCTGGCTGCTGCTCGCCTTTTCCTTCCCGCTTGCGGCTGCTTCGTCCGCCTTGGTCTCCTCGGAAGAGGTGAGATTTCTTCTTTCAGGCTGGATAGGGCTCCACCAGGGATCCTTCCAGGTGCTGCCTCGGACCAGCTCACTCTTCACCTGCCTCAGCACCCCCTGGGCAGCATCAGTTGATCCTGGTGGGTCCAGGCTGGGTGCATCCTGAGCCTCTTTTTTGAGGGCTGGGGCACTGAGCAAGGCGGAGGTACTGGCCTCAGGTGCTGCGGGGGTCTTCTTCAGGGGGACGGCGAGAGGGGAGTAAGTGGACACAGTAGACATGGGCGAGGCAGACAGGAGCTTGGGCGTGAGGATGGCGAGGTCAGGCTGGGACAGTGGTGCTGGCTTTAAGGCAGGGTCAAGGGCAGCCTGCTGGGCCTCCATTTCCCGGCGGGCCTGCTGTAGGATGGAGCGGATGGCGTCATCAGAGTTCCCACTGCTGGATGCGGAAGATGGCTGGACTGGTTCAGCTGTGAGGAATAAACACAGGTGAGGTTGTGGTAGGATGGTCCCTGGCAGCTGTGGGCTTCATCCCACCTTGACCTAGTGGAATGTGATTCTCTGGGGTGGTCACTACACGGTGCCATTTCCCTAATATCATCAATGAAACGTGAAGATACCTGCCCACCTCGTGAGAGAGGGGAACACAGGGATTGACAGCCTTTGTGCCATAGCAGCTGGCTTTCCAACCACACCTCACTCCTACCCTGGCTTTAGTCATTACATTTAAAAATTACCTTTATTTACTCTGTGCGTGTGCGGGCGCACGTGTGCTGTGGTGTGTGACGTAGGTCAGGACAGATCGCGCCAGTCAGCTCTCTTCTTCTACCGTGTGGGGGCCGGGGATCAACTCGGCTGCCAGTCTTGGTGGCCCGGGCCGCCCCTTGCTAAGCGGGCTTGCTGTAGCTCCTTCTTTCTAGGTGTGTGCGTGTGGCGAGTGCACATGTGAGAGCCCCTGGAGGAGCTGGTCCTGGCCCTCCACTGGTTCAGATAGAGTCTCTGTTGTGGCACTGACTAGGTGGTCTGGCCTGAGATTCGGGAGCTCCTGTCCCCACCCGGATCCCTGGGGGGCCAGGGTTACAGATGCTTCGGCTACTCTGGTTGTCAATGTAGGTTCTGGGATCCAAACTCAGGTCTTCAAACCCTTTGACTCAGTGATCCATTGCCCTGCACCTACTCTGGCTTTCTTTCCTGGAGGTTTTAAGCTAACTACTAACTCTCATGAACCATATACCCACACTCCTCTTGGTTTTGCCAAACTCGGGAAGCACGATTTCTGTTCACGTCTACCAGAAGCCAGAGTCTCTGAAGGATCAACGACAGTCCCTTCTAAGGAGCACCAGGGTCTGGTTAGCAGTGGGGAGGGGACATTAAAAGTAGAGCGGAGCATGGTGGCACATACCTGCAAACCTAGCACTCAGGAGGCAGGGACAGGAGGGCCATGGGTTCAAGCTAGCAAGACCCCATCTCAAGTACAAAACCTAAAACAACTGCCCTGTCCCCGGACAGAGGAAACACAAATCTAGACCATACTTCCCTCTGTATATGCCTAATGTATGAAAACATCAACTCAGTATCAACTTAAACAGAGAAGACAAAGGATAAACTCCTGCTGAGGAGAACACCTGTGATAGTCTGAAGACGGTGCTTGAGAAAGCAGAAGCCCTACCGGTTTTCTGCACTTGGAGTTCCCTCTTGGCTTGTTCCAGGATGGACTTGATTGCTTCATCAGAACCAGTCTCGGATGCTCGGATCCGGGTAGTGATGTTACCTGCAGGGAGAAGTCACAGGGATGACATGGAAGCCAGATCTCAAATGGAAATAAACACTGCACCAAGACATTCTGACACAGGGCCCCAGGTGAGGCTGGGGACTGACCGGAGTGGGCATGGTCTCCCACTCATCCCTAAATTGCTGTGAGTGTGATCTTGTGGCATGGCTGTGGGACATGCCTGCCCAGCAGAAGGTTTCCTGCTGAATCTGTCTCAAGGTCAACGTTACTCTGTTGGCAGAACAGGCTTTCTTATCACTTGAGCTAGACTTTGCCCATGGGGCTAGTACCAGAGGGGCAACCAATCATTTACAACAGTATAGGAAAAGAAGGTAAATTGAAAGGCAATGTTTTTTCATGAGCTTTTATTAAAAAGCTTTGGCTTGAGACTACATTCAGGCTCTATACATTTATTTTTTCTAAACATAAACGTGGAAGAAAGGCAAAGGTAAAAGGTTGAGCCTAAACACGCCAGTGTGTGTGTGTGTGTGTGTGTGTGTGTGTGTGTGTGTGTGTGTGTGTTACTAGGCATTGAATTCGGGGCCTCAGGCATGCAAGGTAATTACTCTGTTGCTGAGCCATGCCACAGCCCTTTACTGGAGATTCTAGGTAGGCACTTTAATCACTAAGGCATGTCCCTAGCTCCTTACTGGGGGATTCTAGGCAGGTGCTCTACCGCTGAGCCACACCCCAGCCCCTCACTGGGGGATTCTAGGCAGGTGCTCTACCACTGAGCCACACCCCAGCCCCTCACTGGGGGATTCTAGGCAGGTGCTCTCCCATTGAGCAATGTTCTGGCTCTTCACTAGGAGATTTTAGGTAAATGTCTACCACTGAGACTGAGCTACATCCCTAGCCCTGGGTGAGACCAATCCTGGATTACTCACTGGGATGTGACAGGTGAAGAGGGACAAAGGTGAATGTCAACTTTTCTAGATTTATAACGACATACTGTGTTTTTGAAATTTGCCAACAAGGAGAAAAACCTGTTGCGATCCCTAAGGACACAAATGCATTCTTCTGGTCACATGGAGGTACTCTGCATAGCAGATGTATGTGCAGATGCCCTGAAGGTACTAGGACTCATGGGTTGGGCCCAGATCTTTGTGGAAGCCATCCAGACATTGTCATTGTTGACTACCTTTCTCAGTAGACATGTCACGTTAAACCATTTACTAATGAGGACACTTTGGGAAGGAGCATGGTGAAGGTTGGCTCACCAATGCCTGCAGAAGAACCAGCTTTGTTTGGATCTGAACACTTCACGGGATTTCTGACGTATGTTAGAGTTAAAAATTTGAGGAAGCAGCAATAGCTGGTTTGGCATGGTCACCTGATTTTTCTCAGAGCACAAGTGTTCTGTGACCTGCTTCTGAGAAAACAGGCATGGTGCCCCGGAATCAAACCGAGGACTGATGCTGAGGGGCGGACCTTAGGCATGGCTTGTCTAGCTTCGGCAGCTCAACAGGGAAGGGGCTGGTCGCCTTTGAACCCGTGCTTTGTTTTATACTTACTAGCTGTTTTTCCATCAGGTTCCAGGCCAGAATTACAATGCACAGTTTTAACCCAAATACACAGCTAAGGACATGCTGCTTCCTAGGTTACTGACTGCAAAGAGAAAACCTGCCTGAGACATACCTTCAGACCCATTTCTTCGTTTCGGTACTTCCTGAAAGAGTCTGTTCAGGCTCTGGCCTGGATTCTCTGTTGAAAAACAAGTGCGGTAAGAACAAAACAATCAGGGGATGGTGGCGTCGACGACATGGTCTGGGTGACATGAGAGCTGAGCCGCCTGCCTGCCTGCCTCTAAAGAAAGGGCTCCAGGCTTCACCTTCCTCCAGGCATTGGGTCTACTGCAGGAGGAGAGCCGACATCATCACCACTAGGAGGGGCAGAGGGAGCGAGAGGTGCTTGCCTGCCAGTCAATGCTAGAGCTCACATTAATCATCCAGAGACATCAATTTAGTTAACTACCAAAAAATGCGCTGTATCCTTGGTGTAAACTCATGCTGTTTGTTTATCATCTCCTGCCGGAGATGTCATCTAAATTTCAGAGTGCTTCCAATGTGGCTGAAAACAATGTCCCTCTACATTACTGTTGACTCTGCCCAGGGGGCCTGCTCTTAAGGAAGAAGGAATTATTTACACTGTGGGAGTGTCTGACTTTCTATCATTTTATGAAGGGTGTGGCAGGAAGGGAACTGAATGAAACTTTCGTGTGATTTATTGAAGGCAGGCATGTTTTGTTTGTGGCACTAAAAAAAAAAAAATCAATAATTGGACATAAAACGTTCATGGGACCTGTTCTCTTCTCAGGTGAAGGAGGCAGAGGACAGCTTTGACAAGCTTGCCCCACAGAGCCAGGGCTTGTGAGGATTACAGCTGTTGTGCTGTTGGGACAGAGCTGGATGGCACCCGAGGAGCTGCTCCTGAAGGGAAGCCAGCCCCCGATGCCAAGTGGACCCAGGGATGCTAAACCTGTCAGATGACAGGCATAACCTCACTTTCTCTAATTCAATACAGAGCAGTGAAATGTGAGTTTACTGAGCTCAAGGTGCTGACCACACTCTCCAAGGTCAGGGTTCCCAAATCTAATGGTTTCTAGCTCCTGCGGGCTGACCCTTGAACTCTAGATAGGGTAGAACTGAAGAGCACTTTACCTGATGTGATGTACAAATGTTTCATCACACGCACACACACACACACACACACACACATACATACACAGCACTGCACTGCACTGCACCGGGCACACATGGACATGTCTCACCTCTCTGTCTGCCTTGGATGCTACGAAGTGCCAGGATGTTCTGCTCATCAGACAAGAACTGCTTCATTTTGTGGAATGGCTCCTTGCCGCGGACAGTCAGCTTACTCCAGGGCTTCGGCCGGGCCAGAATCTCACTCACAGACCCTTGAGACAGTCCCAGGACATAGTGTCCAAAGATGCGCTGTCCGATGTTGTGCTTGATCAGCTGTTCTTTGACCTGCCGGGCGATTTCTGCTGTATCAATTTCCTCGCCCTCTGAGACGCTCCCAGCGCTTTCTGATTGGCTGGGAGATGGGGCCATGCCATTTACGTCTGGGCTTGGTTGTAATGGACTTGGGGAAGATATGGAGTTTGTGCTGTAAGGACCTGTTGAAAAAATCGTGCTTGTGCTTCCGGCTTCCTGCATGGCCTTGGAGTAGAAGGACTGCATTAGCTGTCGCTGGAGAAGAGAGTTTAGTGCAAACTTTCCTGTAGAAGCCAGGGGCAGGCTGGGGCTGGCCAGGTTTGAGCTGAAAAAGTCTTGACTTAACCCCGCTGGTGAGAAGTGGTGTGTACCGTTAGTATTGGAAACCTGTTCCCCCGTGTTGCGGGGCAACTGAGGAGGAGGGGAGGCCGGCAAGGGTCCCGGGCGCCGACTCTCAGGCTGGTCTCTCCCTTTTCTCCTGGCTGACCCTACAAGGAAGGGCAAACAGAATGCATTATGGGGGATTCAAAAGGGAAAAAAAACCAAGACCAGAATGCAAAGTGTGCCCCACAAAAAAAGTGCAGATTTTTCTTTTCAATTTTTTTTTTTTTTTTTTAAACAAGGGCCAGAGTGGTGTGTTGGTTTGTTTTTCGATTGAATTTGTGAATCGGCCAAATGAGGCCCCCCAAAACAAGCCACATGCATTCGTGTTTGCACCTTTCTTGTACGTTGCAGCCGGGAGAATCCCCTTGACAAAGGTTCCGGTAACACACACGGGAAAGAGGTGACAGGTCTCGGGGCTTCTAGCATCACAGTTACCCCCAAAGGCTCTGCCCGAGGACCAGCAAACACTGACACTTGGGGACCCATGGGGTCGCTCACACCACATGCTCTGAGGCAGATGCACCCATTGAGTCCCCTCGATCGAAGCCGCGCACACTTTAAGAACTGCAATGCCACTGGAGTCCAGATCACAGTTATACACTTTGACCAGCCGCTAAATCCAAAAGCAGTCAGTGACTCCACCATTTTAGATTGCGCAAACGAGAGGCTAGGGATGGGGGAGGGACTGCGTCCCCAAAGAAGACCTCATGGAGAAAGAAAAGTACCACTGGAGGGCCGGCGACCTCTCAAAGCACACCCTAGAGTCCCCAGAGGGAGGCCATGCTTGCTTTTACCCCTGGCCTGTTCACAGAACAACTAGGAAAAGATCAGAAAGCCAACATCCTCAGGCGTCCCTCCTGGGACCTTTCCAGAAGGCCCCTAGCAGAGCCCTGGAGATTTGCTATGGCGCACACGCATCTCACTGCAGGACGGGGTGGGGCAGAGCGGTGAGGGAGTGGGATACTCGACACTCAGGGTTAGTCCAACAAGTCTTCGGTCACCCAGCGGCGCTCCCATCATGCACACACAAACCCAGATGGAAGGTTCACCCTCCTCGTCCTTGACCCCTGGAAGCGAACCAAGCAGAGTATGTGTGTGATGCCCATCCACCTACCGCTCAGGTCACTGTTGGAGATGCGCAGCGTGGCATTCTCAGACTGCAGCGAGCGGTTCTTCTCCAGGAGTAAAACCTCCAGGGGCTTGGTAGAGTCCTGCACAGGGCAGAGCAGGGGTCACCATGGGGCCACCTTGAACCCATCCATTACCCAGCTCAGCTTCCATGACCCTGCAACATGCATCACTGACTTGACTTCCGCAAGGGAAAAAACTTAAGGTTCTTGCAAAAGGACTTAGTTGAGATGATTTTTGTCTTTAGACTCAGATATTCTTTCCCCATTTTTCATGTGTGTACGTTATGTGTGGTGTTCGTACACATGCATGCATGTGTGTGGAGGCCCCAGGGTTGATCTCAGGCATCATCCTCAGTCACTTACCTTATTCACTGAGGCAGGGACTCACAATCAAACTCAGAGCTGGCTGATATGGCCAGTCTCACCAGCCAGCTTGCTCTGGGGAATCCCCTGTCTCTTCCTTCCAAGGATAGAATTACAGGTGGCCCTCAGGGCCACCCAACATTTACATGGTGGGTTCTGGGGATCGGAACTCCTGGCCTCAGGCAGGATGAGCGCTCCTTTACCTGCCGAGCCACCTTCCTAGCTGACAGTTATTTTCTGTGTTGTTCCCAAATACTCAACAGTCTAAGCCTGGACCCCACTTGGCAATGAGATAAGCTGCTGACCCTGTCAGAAAGCAACGAGAAACCTGTTTTTGTCTTATTTCTGTCCATTGTGAAGATGCCAGCTGCCTTCTGGATAAGGGGAGCAAGACTATACTTGTGATGTAGACTTATACATTTTAGACAACTTTTCTTTTTGTTTTGCTTTGTTGTCTGGGCTAGCCTCAGAGTACTGGGCTCAAGTGATCTTCCTGCCTCAGTCTTCCAGTATTTGGGACTATGGATGCACTATCACTTCTGGTTAGGATATATTTAACATATTGTGTGTGTATGAAACAAGGCCTCACATAGTCTAGGCTTGCCTTGGACTTGCTATGTAGCCTAGGTTGGCCCTAAATTCCAGATCTTCCAGCCTCTATTCATGAGTGTTGGTATTACAGGTATGTGACATCATACATGGCTGGAGATATAAATTGTAATTGGCTGTCAGATAACAGGGTACCACTGTCACACGTCCCTTGAGTTAATGCCACTAAGGCAGTACACTGTATTTCCAGGCCAAGCTTTTTTTTTTTTTTGGGTTGATCTTTAACACAACCTCACATATTTGTCGATGTTTTTGGTGCTAGGATTGAACCCAGGCCTCACACATACTGAACATGCACACTACTACTGGGTTGCAACCCAGCCCCTGAAATTATCATTATGTGCCCAAAATGAAGTCACAGCCTCCCCAGGGCCAACTGAGGAGCCTGGCAAATACTAGCCTCTCTCTTCACTGAAGATGATTTGCTTTCACTTGGTCAAGTCTTGTTATTGCCTTTAAAGAAGGTCTCATGAACCCAAGGCTAACCTCAAACTCATTAAGTAGTCAAGGTTGACTTTAAACGTTTGGCCACCTGTCTTTACAAAGTCTTGGAATTACAGCCCTATGCAACCATTCCTCATTTATTCTGTCAGTGCTGGAGATGGAACCAGGGCTTCATGATACTAGGAAAGCACCCTAACCAGCCGAGTCTCCGGACCAACAACGAGGATCAATCCTTTCTCCCCTCTCCACTTCGTTTTTATTGCTGAGACAGTATCTCATGGGATAGCCGAAGCTGGCCTCAGACTCCTGACCCTTTGACGCCAGCCCCCAGTGCTGGCGTTACAGGTGTGCACTACCCGGCTCGGCTGGTGAAATGCTCTTGAGGAAGGACTGATAGCTGTAAGCGAGGCCCCTCTTATCAGCGTGGAGATGCAGATGAGAGCCTCAGGGGCCAGCAGTGACCAGCAGCTGCTGCCACCACCCTGGGAACAAAGTGAGCTGGTGTACCTGCGTCCCTGCTCCTTCCGATGGCGCAAACTCCATGGACTTCAGGGTGCTGAAAAAGGCAAGACACATGGTTACTTTCAACTACTCCTTTTCCTGGTGGCCTCTCAATAGGCATTAACGCTCTGGTTCCTGCTCTGCAGGCACTGAGGAGCTGACAACTTTAACAACTTCCCTGGCAGGAACTGAATTTGATAATGCCTTTAGAGGAGCCAGTCTTCAACTAGCAGTTGGTTAGCAAAAGGTTTTTTCGCCCAGCATGTAAATCACTCCATATGAAGTCACACCAGGTCTGCTCAGACTCATTTTACAGTGTAATACAGACATCGCATTGTTGCAAGCCGAATGGATTTGTAAAGCTTTTAGGAAATGGGAAGTTCTATGAGGGGAGGGCAGGAGGAGAGGAACTCATGGCCACTGCTCATGTGCTCCCTGGGAACTGGTGCTTGCTTAGGAATGAGGAAAGAGAGAGGGGTGGCTTAGAATCAGGAGGGCAGACCTCTGTGGCCCCACATGTGGTGGGAGGCAAAAGTATTGTTCCACTGTCTACTTAGCAATCAATACAGGCTGTGTCCAGATCACTGGGGCTCTGGACTATCTGAACAAGCCAGGAGCTACAAGCAGATCAGACCCATGGATCTGATGTTCTTATGCTCTCATTATACATATATGTATATGTGACAGAGACATGTGTGTTCACATATGCATTTACACATACAATGTAGAGGCTAGAGGTTGTTGTTGTTAAGTGTCTGCTCTAGATAGGCTGGTCAGTGAGGCCCAGGGTTCCTCCCGACTCTGCTTCCCCAGTGCTTAGATTATAGGCACATGCTGTCCTGCCTGGCATTGTCTGTGAGTGCCAGGGATGGAACTCAGGCCCTCATGCTGACACAGCGACACTGTTTACAGAGCCATCTCCCCAGTCCCCGTATGCTGCCAAGCCTTAGAACCTAGTTCAATCCCAGGACCCACAAAATAGAAGAAAACTGACTCCTGAAAGTTGTCCCAACTGCTACACATGTACACCTACGCACACAATAAATACATGTAACAAAAAATCGAAGTCTATGTAGGATTAGCAAGACTCAGTGTGGTCAGATTATAAAATCTGTGCAAGTGGACCCTTTCCCTTCAAGGATCATGAGTGTGTCAAGATACATGTACAAATGTATGAAATTGTCAATAAATAATAAGTATTTTGAAAAACATCTGGGTGTGGTAGTACATGCCTTTAACTCCAGCATTTGGAAGACAGAGACGGGTGGATCACTGTGAGCTGGAGGCTAGCCTGGTGTACATAGTAGGTTCCAGGACAGCCAGAGCTAAATAATAGAGAGACCTTGTCTTTAGAAAAAAAAAAAAAAGCATTTTTAAAAACTGTCACCCGAGGGGAGCAGTAGTGGAAAGACAGGCCTTTGGAGCCTGTAGATGCAAGACCATGGTGACTTGGGAGTGGGGCCACACGGGCAGTTCTGGAAAGGCAGTCAGGGTCAGCATTCAGGTGTAATGCACTCAATGAAAGGCACACAGGCTGGAGCTCATTCTCAAAGTTGAGGCTGAGCCTGGAGGAAGGGGTCTAGCCATGGGATAGGAGGGGGGAGAGGGAGGGGAGGGTCAAAGACTGCACAACCGTGGTTTTCTTTTTGTTTGTTTTGTTTGCTGCATTTTTATTTATTTATTTGTTTGTTTGTTTTTCGAAACAGGGTTTCTCTGTGTAACCCTGGCTGTCCTGGATCTCGCTCTGTAGACCAGGCTGGCCTCGTGGCCTCGAACTCACAGAGATCCGCCTGGCTCTGCCTCCTGAGTGCTGGGATTAAAGGCGTGTGCTACCACTGCCCGGCTTTGCTTTGCTTTTGGAGATAAGATCTTCAGCAGTCAGCTGGCCTTGAATTCACCATGTGGCTGAGGATGGTCTTGAACCTCTGGTCCTCCTGTCTCCAGTTCCTGAGTTCTAGTACTATAGGTGTGTGCCAACATGCTTGCTACACTCTTTGGCTCAAAACTAGAAGGTTCTGTTTCTTCCTTTTTTTTTTCTTGAAACGGCATCTTGCTTATGTAGCCCAGGCTGGTGTCAGACTCACAATCCTCTGCCTCAGGTTCCTGAGAGCTGATATTTCAGGCCAGTACCACCATTATCATGCACCTAGCTTACTTTTAAATCATTCATCTATTGCTATTATTTGTGTGTGTGTGTGTGTGTGTGTGTGTGTGTGTGTGTGTGCGCACATGTGCCACATTCCATGTATAGAGGTCACAAGACAACTTTTGAGCTTCAGTTTTCTCCTTCCATGGTGGATTCTGGTGATGGAACTCAGGTTGTCCAGGCTGAGCTATCTCACTGGCCCTTCTTCAGTTTTTTGAGGGAAAGGAAGGGCAAATAAGGATGCCACGGAAGGACAAACCAGGAGAAGATGAATGTCACTAAGCTGGACACAGGCAGGAGTACAGAGCTTAGAGGACAGGAATGGTGGCAGAGCATTGGGGGTTTGTTCAGAGAGCCGCTGGTGGAAGTGGGGGAGGGGAGGGCGAGAGAAGAGAGAGCCTATAGAGGGAGAGTGTGGGGACGGAGGTGGAGAGGAGCAGGGTAAGAGTGTCACCGGAAGTTTGAAGGAGGTCACAAGCAAGCAAAAGGAGGTTGGGAATTACGGAGACTAAAGCCATTATTGATTATATAAAGGCAGGCTTGTTTCAGGAGGTTTCCAGGGTATCTGGAAGGGTATTCTGTGTATTAGGAAGGAGAGACACAGGCCAGGTGGGGGGCTTCCTATGGATAGACAAGAGGCAGAGCCCAAGACCCAGCAGGCCCTAGAGTCACCTAGGAGGATCCCCCTGCACTTGCCTATGAGGAGTTTCCAGACTGGGTTAACTGAGCTGGGAGACCCAGTGTGAATATGGGTGGCACTATCCCGGGCTCGGGGACCTGAACTGAGAAAAGGAAGAAAGCGAGCCCAGCACCAGCATCACCTCTCTCTGCCTCCTGGCTGTGGGTACGGTGTGTTTTGTCACTTCTTGCTCCTCCGCCATGCCTTCCCTGACACTAGGGACTGTACCCTCAGACCATGAGTCAAGACAAACCCTCCCTCCCTCCCTCCCGTTGCTTTTGTTAGGAATTTTGTCATAGCAACAAGAAAGGGAACTAATACAGAGGGAGCCCAGGTAAAATGAAGAGTAAAGGCATCTGCATGGTACAGCTGGGGTAGGGGATGGGAGAGGTCAAGAAGGCCTTGAGGGCACCATCTTGATTATAAATCATGGTGTAAAGACAGGCCCCTACAAAGATCACTCATAGCATTAACCACTCTTGAAAGAACAGAGGGTGAAGCCAAGGGGGTAGCTGGAGATAGCCAAGTAGGGTGAAGGGGGAGCCCTGTGCATTGCACATGGGTGTGCAGGACAGGGTCAGTGAGCTGAGAATGCCATGAACTAAAGGACAGAGGGACAGGCTAAGGTTTGGGAGCTCAGGCTCAGGGGGAGGAGTCAGGGGTAGGAGGGGCTAGAAGGGACCATCAAAGCTTTTAAATACAGGCATCAGCACCAAGGGAGACTGGCATCTGGCAGGAAATGGAATCTGGAAGAAGGCAGGTGGTCCTGAGTACAGGAGGCCCTGAACTTCCAATAGAAGTTCCTCTACTCTGTGTTTTACACCGGAGAAACAAGCTCAGACTGTACAATTGCTGTAAGTGCAGCATTTGCTCTGACTCCATGCATGCTGAATACTTCCAATGCAGTCTCATAAAGTCCAAAGAAGGATGGGGATATGGCTTAGTTGGTAGGCTGCTTTCCTGGCATTAACAAGGCTTTGGGTTCCAGCCCTAGCATAGTATAAACCAGATGTGGCGGTACAAGCCTGTAATCCCAACACTTGGGAGGTGGAGGCAGGAAGATCAGGAGTTCAAGATCATCTTGGTTATGTATGGAGTTTCAGGCCAGTCTAGGCTACATGAAACCCAATCACGAAACAATCAGCCAACCACCCACCCATTCAACCACCCACCCATTCAACCACCCACCCATTCAACCACCCACCCATTCAACCACCCACCCATTCAACCACCCAACCACCCAACCAACCACCCAACCACAAAGAGCCCCGCAAGAGTCTTGAGTGAGAACAAAGTGCTGGGTGTCTCTGGTTGGGTTTGGGTACCACTCTGACGGTACCCATCAGCAGACATGGAAGGCCCGCCCCATGCGTCTCCATACTTACTTCAGCTCTTTCTTCACCTCTTCATAGTCAGCCTGGCCTTTGAGTTTTTCTTCCAGTTGCTGAAACAGAAGGGTTTTGATTAGCAGCCATGTCTTAAAGGAGGTTGCCAGACTTCACTGAGGACAATCGCTGTGAGCAACCCTGTATTCAGGGAGTCAACAATATGGGAGCCAGCTTTTCTCTTCTCTTCCTATGACTTGGTGTGAGTGTACATGTGTGTGTGCACATGCACACATATACATGTGCATGCACACACAACCACAAGTTTTAGTGTAAAACTCAGTAACAGGGAAGGGAAAAGCTTTGTGAAGGTAGAAAAATTCACTGTGTGTAAATGCCAGCAAATGGAGGCAGAGCCTTGTTCCTAACATTTCAAAGGCATCATGTAGTTTTTGACAAATGTGTTTGACTACCTGGAGAGCACAGGTAAATCTGCAATTTTGATGGAAGCAGACCTCAGTTCTTCTGTGGAGGGCTAAGCAGGCACCAGGAAGAAAGCATGTCATTCTGGGAGACTTAGACATTAGGGTCTGGGGAACAGAGGCCAGTCCTGTGGTGTGGCTCACTGTGGTGTGGCTCACTGAAGACCAGCTTCATTCTTGTGGGGATGGCTCTGACTGACGGGGACTGGCCCCACTGCCGTCTGGGGCAAGACAGTGGCTCTCTAGAGTGATGATATGCTTAAGGGTTCCAGAGTTTCTGTAAGCTCGTGGGATACATCCATGGCTATCTTTATTCTGACAGGCTTTCCTGGAGTCACGTGGTAAGTCTCAGGTGCTTCCTTCCAAAACCTGTTTTATCTCTTTGAGGCCTTGGGGAGATGGGGCCACTCCAGGTAAACTATGAGTCTGCAGGCCACGATCCTGATGAGTCATCATGTTTCCAAGTTTGAGCTGAAAAATTTCCAAGGTCTCAGCAGCTAGCACCTTACTTGCTATTTTTGGAGGCTCTAGGTGTCTCTTTAGGTTCTGGTTGAGACCAGTGGAGAACATTCTAGAACCTGAGGAGGAAAGGCTTACTTGGTCCACCAGCCTCAAAGCCCATCTGTATCAGAACCTATCCAGAGTTCCAAGCAGACTGTTGCTTTCTCTTATCCATATCCACTCAGCTCATTTTCTTCCATTGCCTCTGCTGACAAAGTTCTTGTGTATTTCCCACCGCATAAAATTGCTCCACCTCATTCCCTTTTAAATATCTCTTGCTAACTTTATAAATGATAATGGTTTTCTCAGGGATAATCAAATGGAGGGTGGTAGGCACTCATTTTCCCATAAAAGACTCTCAGAAGGTGTTCTGAAAGAAGTGATTATTTCATTCCTCTCCCCACAGTCAAGTAGCAGGAAGCACTAATGTACCGCCCACCCTTGGAAAGCGTTATCTGCAGTGTTTCGGGGAGGCCAGACGTGAACACTCAAGTCAAGTCACCACCAGAGAATGGCAGGAAGCCGGGAGGAAGGCAGAGATGTGGGGTGTCACAGTCTGAGACGGCCAACCAGCATGAGTGTCAGCCTGTCTCACAAGCCAGGCATCTTTGGGGCGGCTGGTATGTTTCTCCCCATAAAATGAGCAGCAGCAGGGGGCCCAAAGTGTCCTGGGAGGAAAGAACTGGTGGAGACCCCTCCAGGCCCCCAAGGCTGCACTTCTTGTTACTGCCAAGTGTGTCAGACACTTGGTCACCCGGTGACGGGGCTGATAAAAACAGCGCTGGAAAAGGAGCTCAGTTGGCAGAGTGCATGTAGCCCCGGGTTCCATCCCCTGCAGCGCACCAACTGGCCATGGTGCTGTACACCTGTAATCCCAGGAAGCAGAGACAGGGGAGGCAGAGGGTCAAGGCCCTTCTCCATTACATAACTAGTTCGAGGCTAGTGTTGGCTACATGAGATCTAGCTTCAAAATCTGTGTTTTATTAGTACTATGTGTATGTGTGTTTATTTGTATGCATGACTTACGTGTGGGGCCCATGTGCCATGGTATGTGTGTAGAGGTCAAAGGGCAGTATTTGTGGAGTCTGTTCTTTTCTTCCATCTTTATGTGGGTCCCAGGGACTGAACTTAGATTGCCAGGTTTGTGTGGAAAGTACCTTCACCTGCTGAGCCATCTCAGAAGCCTGGAAGCTGTATGCACCTGGCCTTTAATCCCAGCACTCGGGAGGCAGAGGCAGGAGGATCTCAGTGAATTCGAGGCCAGCCTGGGCTACAGAGTGAGTTCCAGGACAGCAGAGCTGTAACTGAAACTCTGTCTTGAAAAACAAAAAACAGAAACAACAACAACAAAACAAAAAAAAATAATAATAAAAATAAAAATAATAAAATAACAAATTTACGACTACCACTGTTATGTATGGATATGGGTGTGCACCCCTTGTGGCTGTGGTCAGAGTCCAATGTTCTAGAGTTGGTTCTTTGACCTTTGTGTGGCTCTCCAGTTGCCAGGCTTGCATGCAAGTGCCTTTGCCCACCGAGCCACTTGGATGGTGTGTTTTGGTTAGGTATAGCAGTGCAGTGCTCAGGCAGAACTGCACAGCTTCCACGGAAATTTCATGCTCCAACTGGACAGCGTTACAGAGGAGACCCCACTAGTTATTTTGTAAATTCTGTGACATTTTTCACCCTGGGGAGACAAAGTGCCGGGAGCTTGGCAGAGGGGCCTGCACAGCTTGTCCCCACCCTCAGAGTGCGTCTGGCCTGGCCCTGACCCCCGAGTCCATGCATTCTCCTCGGATAGGAGTGGCTTCAGTTGCTCCATGCAGCTGGATCAAACACAGGCTGTCTGGCAGGTCCTCTATCCATTGAGCCACCTCGCTAGCCTGTGATAGTCTCTTTATAAACTGAGTGCCTAATTAAGTCTTAGCTCAGATCTCTTTCTTTGTTTTGAGCTAGGGTCATGTAGCCCAGCTGGCCTTGAAGATGCTTTATACCCAAGGATGACCTTGAATTTCTGATCTTCCCACCTCTACCTCTAGAGTGCTGCGATTTAGGCACACACTAGTACACCCAGTTTATGCAGTGCTGGGAAGGAACCCAGCTGCTACACAAGCATTCAGTCAACTCAGCTACAGCTAAGCCAGGCTTGCTAGCCTTTTCCATAAACACTCGATGTTAATTGAAGGTACTAGTGACGTTATTTTCCATGCCACAGTGAAGACAATGCAGGTGACTGGCTAATTGTACGCTTCTCCATCAAGAGTGCTCTGACAAAGCCACGGAACGCTTATCAAAAGCAGCTGCCTGTCATGGCGGCTGGTTTACTTCATTAATTATGAACTGGGAATTATCCACCACAAAAAGGCAGTGCTGCTGAGCACTTGTCAGACTGAAACAGTTCTCACTCACAAGCCAGTTTCCACACCTGTTTAGAGGTGAGAAGACATGGATGCTGATGAGCTAGCCAAGGTGTTTGTATGACAGAGGAGAACCTTGGCCAAGAGAAACTAGTGAATATGAAACCTCATGGTGGAGGAAGGATGGGACAGTTTCAACATGCTGGGGCATGAGAAGCAATTAATGAGTTATCTGGGATGTCCAATCACAGACAGTGCCAGCCAAATGCATCGGTAGAAAATCACCAATGTTGGGATCCCAGATTCTGCCCATGGGCTGAGGGTGTGACTCAGTCGGTAGAATGCCTACACAGCAATGCACAGAGCCCTGGGTTCCATCCCCAGCACCACATCGTCACACAATCAGGGCCTAGTGTGGTGTGCCTGTAATCCTAGCGCTCCAGAGGTGGAGGCAGATGTTCAAGGTCATAATTGGCTACAGAGTGAGTTGAGAACAGCCTGGGATACATGAGACCCTGTCTTGACCACAAAGCCCCCAACTATGTATGACTTGCTCTCTCAAAGTGACTGTTAACGACTCATCTGTTTCAAAGATTAAGGATGCACTGTATAGTTAAGTCTTAGCATAGGAAAACCACCAGCAGTTCCAAGGCTTCAAGTCCAGCTGAAAGCTACAGTGCCCTTCCTAGGCTGCACCCTGATTCCAGACCCTCAGGACATCTTTGGGAATCCCCCCAAAGCTGAAAAACTATGGTCCAAGAAGGGAAGGAAAGAAAAAAAAAAAAGCAAACAAACAGCAATAACAACAATGGGTGAAGGGAGACCGTGGGAAGAAAAGACAACCCAGGAAGAAAAATCCCACAGTAAATGAGAGTGGTGATGCACACCTCTAGTCCTAGCACTTGGGAGGTTGAGGCAGGAGGATTAGGAAGTCAAAGCCAGTGAATTTCAGGCCAAATATGTACATGAGACCTTGTCTGAAAAAGGAGGAGGAGGAAGGAGGAAGGAGGAGAAGAAGGAGAAGAAGGGTACACAGCAGGGTAACATAAACCCATTTGTACCTTGTGGCTTTACAGGAGCTGTGACTATAAGGGTAGAGTTCCTCATTGTAGAAGCATCAAGTGATAGGTTGAGAACGTGACAGGTCTTATTCATAAAATATTTTCCTAATGATTGTATCTATATTTAGTTTAGGTCAGAGACTATAAATTATGCACATTGAAAAAAAAAAAAAAGCCCTGGCTGAGCATAGTGGCATATACCTTTAGTTCCAGCACCCAGGAGGCAGAAGTGGGTAGCTGTCTGAGTTCAAGACCAGCCTGGTCTACTTAGCACTCTAGGCCAGCTAAGGCTATATAGTGAAATCCTGTCTTAAATACACATACACACCTCTCAAATGAAAAAACAAATCCCAAGAAGTTACCTTATTCAATCAACCTTACCCCGTGGGGTATAGGAGGGGGATTTTTCTATCTGGCGGCCTCTGAGGCCTTCTGTGTGTGGCTTCGATATGTATGGGAGCCATCTTTACTTCTGGCAACAAGGGGTTAAGATAATTAAAATCAGAAGGCTCGTTACTAGAGGATATGTTTTGATTATTAGATCAGACGAAGGGAAGGGAAGGATGATTTTGGAAAGAAGCATCACTGGATTGTTTCATTAACTACGCAGTATTAAAGAATTCCCCCTTTAATCCCAGCACTCGGGAGGCAGAGCCAGGCGGATCTCTGTGAGTTCGAGGCCAGCCTGGTCTACCAAGTGAGTTCCAGGAAAGGCGCAAAGCTA